TGGGATGCTGGTGCTGCAGTGCAGCTTTACCTGCTACACCACTGCGCCAGCAACCAAAAGTTTTAAACCTATATAAAAAAACCTCTCCAGGTACTATGTGGAGAATTTCCATGCAAAAGGGCAAAGAATAGCATAGACCTGTGACACGTCCCTGTTTGCATAGCAGATAGGGAGGGTGAGAGTGAACACGTTACTCGTATCTGTCGGCGTTTGCCTTAGGAGCTTCTGAGCACGCAGAAGAAACTAACCCCAACTCACGCCCTCCAGGACCGGCTTCTTCCGCAGAGGAGTGTGGAGACGCTGGGCAGGGCAGGCGTGTGTGGAAGCGGCTTTCCGCCGAGTCCTTCTGCGCGGCTTCTGCTTTCGCGTCCGTGTGAATAGTCTCGATCTGAAACCCGGAGTGAAGAATACAAGTATCTTCTTTGTTTAAGCAACACTTTCCTTTATGTCTAAGGCCTCAGATAACGCCAGAGCTGAGCACTTTTGTCAGCCTCGCACACTCCCACTGTCTGCACGGCCAGTGCTTCTGGCATCACAGACAATGACGCAGAAGTTGCCTAAACAGTGTTCCGGTGAGCAGACAGAAGGGATCCTCTCAAGTGCTGCCGAGGACTCTCCCCCGCGTGGCTTTGTTTGCTCTTTACCCTCTGCCTTTACCTTCCCTCCTGGGCGCCTCAAACCGCTCCATAGGAAGTCCCTTGAGCCTTGCATGTGGTCCTCTCCGGCAGCCACTCCAGCAGGCGCCAGGGAACGCTGGGCATGTCGGCATCTCCCATCAGGAGCAAGCCCAGGCCACAGGAAGTCCTGTGCTGAGCAGGCGCGGTCGGCAGGGGGCTCCCGGGCACGTGCCGGCGGCAGTCCGAGAAGACGCCGCGGGGATCACAGAGTCTCCCCCGGTGGCAGCGTGTCTCCTCTGTTGCCGTCTGTTCAGCTCCTGTCCTTCCCCAGCAGAGCCATTTTATCCCAACATCTGCAGCCTGTCCAGCACTTTCCTGGGACCAGTAAGCAGCCGGCAGGAGAGATGAGCACCAGCGACCCGCGCCCAGCGGACCTCGGGGGCTTGCGGAAGGCCCCCACGAAGACTGAGGCACTGACCCACCAGTTCTGAGAGCCACAGCTGCCGGCTTGGCCACGACTGGCGCATGTCCCCCGCCGTCCAGATGTCTACGCTCTCGTGTTGGCCGCAGGCCCCAAGGTCTAGGCCACTGCTTACCCAGGCCACTCGTCCACTCTGCTTCTCACACCTCAAACCTCCGGCGCAGACCCCTCCTCTGCCTGCTCCAGAGCTCCACAGCCTCCCGCCGAGCGCCAGGAGCCCCGTTCCTCCCTCGTGGGATCCCTGTGAGGTCGCCGGATCCGAGCAGCCTGCGCCACGCAGGCGGGCTCGCAGGCAACACCGTTACAGGCACGGCACCGCTGCCCGGGGCCTCGAGCTCTCCTGGCTGCACCTGCTGTCTGCAAGCCGCACATTCAGCCCCTTCTCTGTGCCAGAACCTCAGCCCGAGCTCCAGAAGCCTGGTCACGGGCTGGCCGCCTGCTAACCCCTCCCCGCACGGGCCCTCTCGGCCTCACGGCCCGGCTCTCACTCCTCCCTGCTCCGTGGTCTCTGCTGCTGGAGCCTCGAGGTCACAACGTGACCCCAGATGGAGCCGAGGACGACACCGGGGCAAAGCAGGGAGCTGCCAGGGTCCCTTCACCTGTGTGAACGGGCACAGACATGTCTACACCTGCAGGGGAGACGACGTGACTGTGCACAGACGGTGGGGCAGGAAACTCAAGACAGGGACAGTGTCTGCTGCAGTGACTGGGGTGTGAGGGCTCCTGTGAGGCGGGTGACTGGCGTGCAGCTCACACCTGTGAGGCAGGCGACTGGCGCAGCTTCTCTCCCGCTGCGGCAGCTGACCCTGCTGGGTAGCAGCTCACCCCCCTCGGGCCGGTGAGTGCTGCGTGTGGCGTTCCTGCTCTCCGGGGCAGGCGGCACTGGCCTGGGGGCTTCCTCTCTCCAGGCCGGTGGCTGAGGTAGGGCGTTGCCTGGCCCTCTGGGAGGTGGCTTGCGGCCAAGCGTCTTACCCTCCTGGGCAGTTGACTGTGGTGTTTGTGACCTTCTCTGTCGTATCATTTACTGCAAGCTGGGAGTTCACGGCTAAACAAAGCGAAGCTGAAATGCAAACTCTCCTTCCACGGCAGGCCCAGCTGGTGGCACCGCGGCTGTTCTGTGACCGACGAAGCACTGAGGAACAGACACGAACCCCAGACTGCCTCTCACGTGCACCGGGGGCAAAGACCCCTGCAGCTGGGCCAGCCACGGCGTTGCTCCTGCCGTAGGCCTCGGACGGAAGGTCCCTGTGCCTCTGCTCTCTGCAGCGTGGTGGGGAGCGGGGAAGCTTTGCAGAGGCCACGCCCCGCCATGGGGTGGTGACGCCTCGGGCCTGTGGGAGCGATGGTTGACTTGGGACTGAAGATGTGGGATTCCCAGTCTTGTTTTGTTTGGAAAGCTGCTCACATGGGCTTAAATTCCAAGGGCTGGGCCGGCGTGGTGGCGGACTGGGTACAACCACCGCCTGGGACACCAGCGTCCCCTGTGGGAGCTGGGAGTCCCCACTGCTCCACTTCTGATCCAGCTCCCTGCTAATGGCCTGGGACAGCAGCAGCAGATGGCCCAAGTGCTTGGGCCCCTGCACCCATGTGGCAGAGTCAGGTGGAGCTCCTGACTTGGGCCTGGCCCAGCCCTGGACACTGCAGCTATCTGGAGAAGCAGCAGGTGGAAGATCTCTGTCATTCTGGTTTTCAAACAAATCAATTATTTTTAAAAATCCAAGGGCTGGCCGGCACCGCGGCTTAATAGGCTAATCCTCTGCCTGTGGTGCTGGCACACTGGCTTCTAGTCTGAGTCGGGCGCTGGATTCTGTCCCGGTTGCTCCTCTTCCAGGCCAGCTCTCTGCTGTGGCCCCAGAGTGCAGTGGAGGATGGGCCAAGTGCTTGGGCCCTGCACCCCATGGGAGACCAGGAGAGGCACCTGGCTCCTGGCCTCGGATCAGCGCAATGCGCCAGCTGCAGCGGCCATTGGAGGGTGAACCAATGGTAAAGGAAGACCTTTCTCTCTCTCTCTCACTGTCCACTCTGCCTGTCAAATAAAAAAATCCAAGGGCTTTCAATTTTGGATTCTGGGAGGTCTCGCATCTGCACGGCAAGGGCAGGGGAAGGTCACAAGGACGAGGACGGAGGGAGGGGAGCAGGGTGGGGCCCCACCCAGGAGTGAGAGCAGAGCGCCCAGCCCTGCGCTGGCCGCGTCAGCCGCCGTCCTGCTGCGACCACATTGTGAGGGCGGCACTGTTCCCACATCCATCTCTGCCTGCGAGGTGTCGCATCTCCCGGCCTCCCCGCGGCTCTCACGGCTTCCTGTTGTCTGCAGCTGCGTGTGGTGTTAAATGCGATGAGGCAAATGTCCTTCCCACTGCCTCTTCCACACCTTCACGCTGACCCAGCTCTGAGTCCACCTGTGGCCCCGGGGGCCTGGGCTGGGAGAGGCAGCAGCAGTCTCTCTGATGCATCGATGCCCCGGGAATGCAGGGTCAGTGCTGCTTAGAGACAGGACAGCAGTGTTGGCAGGTGGCCCCGGCACAAGGGCTGGAAAACAGACTCCTTCGCAAAAGGAAAGAGAGGGGCCTGCCCCCGTACCTTGGAGACCCCTGGCATCCTCCAAGCCCTCCGCCCCCAACCCTGAGCGTCTCCCCCAAAACTCTCGGCTTTCTAAGCCCATCAGCTTGGCTCCTTTCTCTTTTCCTGGGAATTCTCTGGTCCCTGCCCATTCCCCCTCCCACTTCTCTCCAGCGGCCTGGACATCCCACATGCCCCGTTCATCGCCTCCTCCTCCTCCTCCAGGTCCCTTCTCTGCCTTCCTTGACCTTAATAAAGCCACTTTGTGTCAGTGTTGTCACAGGTGCCCTTGCCTTTCACTGCCAAGTCCCTCCAGATGGAGGCTGAGCCCGTGGCACTGCCGCCCATCTCCCTCGAGCCCCAGGGACCCTCTGGCCTGCTGGGCCTGGGCTCGCTGTCCCCAGGGCCTGGGCCTCTCCCAGGCCTCCTCCCCTCGTGTTCCCCTCACCCCTTGTACTATCAGGACGCCATGCGGGCCTCCCACACGCACCGCGGCTTGGTTTTTCCTGCCCTGGTCTCTTCTCCAGCTGCAGCGGCCCCAGCCTCACCCAGCGACTCCGGCCGTGGTGTGTGTGAGCAGGACACAGGGACAGAGGGTGACGGCTCCCTGGTGGAGTGCGGAGCCCGGCTCTCTCTCCTGCCCAGACCCAGGCATGACTACCTGCTCTCTCGTATGCTTCTGCATTGCCCTGCTGCCCCTCGGGGCCCCTCCGTGGTGACTGCTGGGCCCCAGTGGCTGTCTCTGAGGGTCTGGGCTCCCTTCTCAAATGAGCCCATGAGGCCCGGGGCCACCTCCCTAGTAGAACGTCTTGCGTGGAGTGGCGGCTCCATAAGCACCTGTTTGCAGATTATTTGTTCTATTTATTGTGTCACTTTCATGCAGACCAGAGAAACTGGAATCGTCACAAAGCAAAGATCAGAAACAAGACCTGGAGATACAGACGCTGGGTCCACACCAAGACCTGGCCACCCCAGGACAGCCCAACCAGAGGAGAGGCTCCTGTCACACTTGACCAGGTGGAGCAAAGGGCGTCTCACAGTGTGGATGCCGTCAGGCCTGGAGCCGGTGAGCGAATTCTGCCGCACTGTGTAACAGGAGGCTGCAGTCCACTTTGCAGGCTCCTTAGTGAGGTAGAGCAGGCTTGCGCGGGCTGGAAGGCAGGGAGCCTCTGCCCACTGACCAGACCTCCTGGCCTCACCGTGGACAGCAGCACCAACAGCCCCACAGCCTGGGGACCAGCGTGCAAGTGACACGAGCTGGCCCTTCTCCGTGCCTCTTGTGTCTGCATCTATGCAACGGGACCCACACATCCTCCTCCCCAGGCCCCCCAGGACGAATCCTCAGAATAACCAGCCTGGCGCGCGTCCCCGGGTGGGATCACTGTGAGGTTCAGAGCAAATGGCCGCGCCTGGAGAAGGAGCTATGCAGCAAGGACGGGCAAGCGGCTCCGGCGTCTCCGGGGCCCCCGAACGCAGCTAATGATACTGCCTGCCTCTGGGGTGTCCACAGACGTGGACGGTTAATGACGGCAGAGTGCTTTGAGGTAATGAGCTGCTCAGAAGGGCGGCTCTGATGTTGATAATGACGGGCCTGTGGCCGCCGGCTGCACAGACTGCAAGCACTGGCTCAGGGCCTCGTTTCAGGGCTGGCATTTTTGAAGCTAACAGAATGCTTTTAGAGTGATTAAATGATGTGTCAGAGGAACTTCCTGCGTTCATCCTGGGGTCCTGGGTCTTTTGTTGTTGCTGTTGTTAGAAAAACTTAAAATTTGATCCTAGAGCGAAATAGTCTCGAATTAATTCACGTGGATTCCTCTTTATCTGAGGCCCAAGAGACACCAGAGGTCCCCTGTAACACTCAGACACCGTGAAACAGCGAGTCACTCGTTCTACTAAAATTACTTGGTGTGGCTATAAACCACACCACAGCCACTCCCTTTTGCCCAGGGTAAAGAATTTCCCTTGACAGCCTGTCAAAGCCATGCACAAATGGGCCCAGGCTTTGCCCTGGAAGGCCATGCTCCGTTTCTCTGCAGCAGTGTGGACAGATTTACGGTGACACCAAGGTGCGAATTCAGACTGCGCCCCATAGACGGGTCGTTAAAGACGATTTCCACAGCACATCTGCACCCTGCACACGGCTCTGCGGGAGCTCAGCCCGCTTCTTTAAACAAAGAGCAGCCCCTGTGCAAGGTGTCCCTGAGCCACAGATGATTCTCGCAGAGGACGTAGCCCTGATTAATGACCCGGGCGCCTCCTCCACTCTCCGGGGACTGCTGTCACCCCGGGCAGGCAGCGTCCCCTACAGCCATCCCCAGACCCAGTCCTCACTGGCCGAGACGCACAGGTTATTTAGAGGACGTTTGCGCGGGTCTTCCATCAACCACACACGAATGGAAATCTCATTATCAGGTCAGGGTCCCAGGCTCCTTGCTCACTTTCGCCATCTGGTGACGCTGAAGCACTCCACCTGCTACAGCCAAAGGGAAAAGCGAGGACCATTTGACCTGAACCGATGGCCCTTTAGGAGTCTCCCACTTCCCCTCACAACCGTGGTGTTGCCTTAGCAAACAGCGCCACCCCCCGTCGCGCCAGAAGCAATGCAACGCAACACACAGCTGGAACCCGAGGGAGAGGGGCCAGGCAGGTGTGTCTCCAGCAGCTCGCTCACCCAAACTGGCACAGCAGCGGAAAGAGCGAGCAGGCGGGGGAAATGAACAAGGTGGCTGCTTGCGTTCTGTGAACCTACACACAGGGAACCTTGAGCAGGGAGCTCCCAGGCCCACCCAGGAAGTGCTGGTGTTCACTGATGCCTCAGGCCAGGAACCAGCCTTGGCATTCCCAGACCTCTGCACTTCGCTGCCCAGGAAACCAAGTTGCCAGGAGTTACCTAAGCTGCCACGAAGCAGGTGCGTGGTGGAGCCAGTCTCCGTCTGCGGCCCCAAACCCCATCTTCCTCCTCCCGGCTGCACCAGGTTTCTGGATGGCCGTTGGGCTCGCGCTTCAGGTGCAAGTGCTGGCTGACGGACTCACTTCACCTGGGCTCCAGGCAACGCTGGCAGACGCTGGGGGGGAAAGCGGAGGCCGTGCACAGCTCAGCAGCTCTGCCTCACCCAGCGCCTCACGCTCGTCTCCACAAATGGCCCACCCCGCCCGCGTCTTCCTCATCTCCCAGCCCTCACTGTCCCTGCTTCTCCAAACCTCAGCACCACCAGCTCACCTCTCCCTGGTGCTCACGTGAGCAGGTGTCTGGAGGAGTTGATGGGGCCTCGCGGCTCTGTCCACTCTGCCGGGGAGACGTGAGGAGGCTGTGGATCAGGGAGCACCAAGGCGTGCTCAGCACAGCCCGGCGTGCGCAGGAGACTCTGGATGACCTTAGCTTGGCTGGGCTTTCCTTTCAGAATCAGTTGAGGACAGCAGACCCTGTGCTTGTGTCTTACTCTTCTCTGTGTTACTGTCACCCTCGCAGGACTGACAGATGCCGCCCCGCGTCACCTGGCAGCAGGGCTGCACGCCCGCTTTGCTGGAAGGCTGGGAAGGCCTCATTTTGTCTGCACACTTGGCAGGCAGGCCCGGGGCTTGCCCGTGGTACTCAGCAAACAGCTGCTAGGATGAAATGAGCTTGGGAGGCCGGCGCTGTGGTGTAGCAGGTAAAGCTGCTGCCTGCAGTGCCAGAAACCCATATGGGCACCGGTTCGAGACCCGGCTGCTCTACTTCAGATCCAGCTCTCTGCTATGCCCTGGAAAAGCAGTGGAAGATGGCCCAAGTCCTTGGGCCCCTGCACCCACATGGGAGACCCTGGAAGGAGCTCCCTGGCTCCGGACTGGCGAAGCCGTGGCTGTTGTGGCTAATTGGGGAGTGAACCAGCAGAAGGAAGACCTCTCTCGCTCTCTCTCTCTCTGCCTCTCCTTCTCTGTGTAACTATGACTTTCAAATAAATAAATGGAAATGAGCTTGGATGTGGACCACAAACTGACTTCCCTTCTGCCAGTGGCCAGCAGGAAGCATGCTACGGGGCTCCAGGTGCTCCTAGACTTATGACCCCTGACCTCACCTCTACGGCCTGAAACAAAAGAATGCCCCTTTTCTGGAGAAATTCAGGAAATCATTTAACAGCCAAGAAAACAGGTTCAGGCAGGAATTACCATTAGATGCCGAAAGGCTAATGGAGAAGGGTGCTCGCGTGGGCTCAGGTGTCAACCCCATCCTAGTGACTCCGGAAGTGAAGAAATCGGCCTCAACTCCCTACCGGATGGATGGAGCGCCACGTGACAATGATGCCAGGGGCGCATACACACCATGTGCTTCTTGCCATGGTGCACGGAGGACACGGCACTGTGCATGTGGATGGTGTGTCCTGATGTGAACGGAAACATGTAGTGTCATGTATGTAGTGTACCTTTAAGTGTCAAACATAAGGGAACAAGCGAGTGAATCCCAATGACGGACACCAGGTAAACAAAACTTGACTCTCAAAAATGTCCATGACACAGAGGGAAAGAACCTAGAGCCAGGGAACTAACCATTCTAAGTAAAAAAGTCAGTGTAGTGACCAAAACAAGCAGTAAGCTCCGTGAAGGGAGGGAGGTGTAGGGACATCACCCCACTGGAAAAAACCTCAACGCGGTACGAGGCAGTGGTATTCTACTGCCATTACCGTGCAGGCAAGTGTTCTGTCGTCTTCCCTGCGTGTTGGACGGTGTTCTGTCACCATCCACCCTCCCGAGTGGTTGCTGTAGGGCATCTCTCCGCCCCATTCGACAATGCAGTGTAGTGGAGTGAGAATCAGTGGCTGCTTCAGCCACGAGAATGCTACACCTACAAAGAGGTGAATGTGTGTGGCAAGATGCCAGCAACTATCGAGGGTCACGTGGGAATGCACTGTACCAGCTGTGAGACACTGCTGCAGCTTTGAGATTTTCCAAAATGAAAGCTGGGGGAAAGAACGCACAGCTGTAACAAGACAGGCTATGCATTCAGGAATAGAGGGAAGATGGATGCAGAGGCAAAACGACAGGGCCGCAGCCCCAAAGGGCTCTCCCGGTTGTGCGCGTGCCCATCAGTCTCCAGCCTCCTGCAGGGGGAGAAGGGGGTGGAGAGCTGCACAGGGGCGAATGCATCTGCCCGGACCACGGCACCGTAAACTTGATTAATCCGCATCAAAACTGCTGCTGTCACCACACGTCTGGTAACAGAGGCAGGCGGCAGGCTGGGAGGGAACGGGTACCTGATGCTCCCCGAGGGCCACTCTGGACGCCCTGTGTGGGCAGCCAGGAGCCCACAAAGCTGACTGTTCAGTGAGGGGCGGCGACCGGGCAGGCTGCAGAGCTGATCAGCAACACCAGGCGAGGCCTCCCCGGCTCCGCTCAGAATGCTCCTTCCTCTGCCGCATGAAACAAGGCGCAAGGGCAAACGTCTCCTCCTGCAGCTGAATTCTGTGCACCCAGAGGAGCAGCACAGCTGCTACAGGAAGCAGTAGTTTACTTCCCCAGGGAGCAGGGGACGACACTTTCAGTGTGCACAGGTCTGCTGTTGCTGCATTTTTTAAGAGAAGGAGAGGAAGAGAAAGCACGCCCTTCCACTGATTCACTCCCCAAAGGATCGCAATGACCAGGGCTGGAGCCAGGGGCTGGAAACTCAATGCAGGTCCCCCATGTGGTGGCATGGACCAAATCACTTGGGCCATCACTACTGGCCCCCAGAGTCTGCATTAGCGGGAAGCAGGAGTAGGAGCCAGAGCTGGGGTTCCAGCCCAGGCAGTCCTATGTGGGGTGCAGGCGTCCCACCCACTAACCAAACACCCACTCCCAATTACTTTCATTGTTGCCTTTGATGGAGAACAAAATTAGCTAATCTTCAACTTTTCCCTTCTTGCAATAATTTCAGTCTATAAAAGATATTTGGCCAGTGGGGAGAGAGAACAGAAGGCACGCAGGGGCATCTGAGGCGGCCCTGTCACCTGTCAGTTCTCCAAATCCCCCAGCAGCGTGACACCATGGATCAACCAAGAGCAGAAATGGTGACTCCTCCGACAAGCCGAGCCATGGCAGCTTCCTTCAGATGCTTGGCCCTAAACCATACATGCCGTCACCTGTGAGGCGAGCAGACACAACCTCATTTGGGGGAAACAAAGGGCTGCAGCCCCCAAGATGTGGCCGTCAGGGGAAGGCAATGGCAGTGTCCCTCGGAAGTCGGCTGCTCACCTGGGAACAGACAGCAAGCAAAGGTGAGGGAGCTCGCCCTCGTCGAGGGACAGAGCAGCACACACTAGCAGGGCGGCTCTTGTGGGCCTGCTTACTGCCCTAGCACGAAGCCACAGCAGGGAAGGGTCCCCCGAGGCCCTGGCCCAGCATGGTGAGACAAATTCTCACCGGGACACAGCTCTCCCAGCTCAGAGCCCACACCAAGAAAGGCCGCACCCGGCGGTGTCATGCGGGGCCCAGTGCCAGATGCCACCCCAGGCCCTCACTCGTCCCTGCTGGGGGCTGAGCTATGTCCTCCCCAAATCCTCATGAGGCCCCAGTCCCCAGACCTAACGTGGAAGTTAAGATGGCGCCACTCTCTGGGTATGCTACAGAAAGAAATCCCAGAGTTTAGGAAGGCAGGGATCTTGTCTTGCTTCTTGGTTTTCAACGAGTGGTCTGTTGAGCCCACCCTCACCCCATAAACACACTAATAAGGGAAGCCTGGAACTGGAGTGTCGTGGCCGTCCCCCACAGGCAGGGGGACAGTGAGAGTGCCACCATGCACCCAGCCACTCGGGGCCATTAGGAACGATGGGCCTGAAAGTGACATGCCTGTGGTTTCTGTAATGGACAGAGGGTGGCACATGTGTCAGTGGGCACATCCAAGGAGACTTGGTAGTGGCTGATCCTGGTGCTGGGGACTGACACAGCTGGCAGCAGTGTCACCCTCCACTGCCTGACTGCGTGAGAGCCACACTCTCCCCAAGTCCCCAGACTGAGGGGTACCAGACCTCCTGTACAGAGGCACCCCCTTACCTGCCTCTGTGCCCTCTAAGAGGGCTGTGAGTATCTGCCAGGGTTCTGAGAGTCGGGGAGAGAAGCACATGGCCTGTCAGGAAACCACTGGACACTGCCTCCAACCCTGGAAGAGCAGCTGGTGGTCAGCAGTCTTGGCCGAGCCAGCAACACAGGTCCCACGTGCAGAGGGGTTAGAGACGGCAGCTGGAGGAATCCCACACAAGCTTCCTGGCCCCGGAGCAGGCCTGGCAGAGCCCAGGGCAGAGCAGAAATCAGAACAGTCTCTCCCCTCTCAAACAGAACATTCAAAAGACGCCTTCCTGGAAGAATCCGAGATGAATCCCACAACCATGCCCATCCACCTGCGCCGAGAACTCAGGGCCCGGCCCAGTGCCTGGCCTGTCCCCAATGCACCCCAGCAGCCACGGCAGTGGCAGGTGCCATCCAGACGTGGTTTCTTTGCTGAAACAAATCAGTGACTTCCCCGCACCCCAGCCTTCCCGAAGTGTCCTTCCACCTGGCGGGGATGGCAGCGCCCCTCAGGGTCTTGTGCCAGGGTCTGCTGCTCCCAGGCCTCCCCACGGGCCCTGGGGAAGGCCCAGGGTGGAGGGGCAGCGGACCAGACACATCCTGGGGAGGCCTGTGAATGCCAGAGGGTAGGGTTTAGCCTGACACAGAAGGAAGGGCCACTGCCACAAAGCCCCAGGGCCCAGGGACCTAAGGAGTTCAGACGCGGTCGCCAGGGAGGGACAGGCTGCTGCCTCCCGTCACCGCGGTCCTCACAGCACCACCTGCCAGACTCGCACGGCTGTGTGATGGACCCATGAGCTCCAGACTTGTATGAGGTCCAGGAAAGTAAAGGCCACCCAGCACGCTGATGCGACAGCCGCGCTCTCCTCAGACCACAGCACCAACAGCAGCCAACAGCACACAGTCTGGGCAGAAGGCAGCCACGTGGAGCCACAAACAGGCCCACAGCAGACCCCCAGGCTCTGGGAAAAACCATGTCCTCTAGTGTGAGTAATTGCTCTCCTCTTGAGAACCACGTTCTGGCTTGCCTTCAGGGCCCAGAGAACTAAGACTCTGCGAGCTGCCATCAGACTTCTCTGCCCATCAGGGCGCCCGGTGGCTATAGCAACACACCTCACCACTGCACTGACCGTACACGTCCCGAAGGTACAACCCGCAAGAGCAGATGGCCCCACCTCTCACAGCGTCCACACAGCTGCACTGCCAGCGCGCCTCATCACGTACCTGCAGCCTCATGTGGGGTTTCTTACCATCAGTTGCTTATTCATTAAAAAGTTGGATCTGATTTCTGCAAAATACGCTGACACCACTTTAAGGGAAAGGCTGGTGGCCCTACAGCCCCCTCGAGGGTGGTGCTGAACAGTGAGGAGGAAGCGAAACAGCCCGCAGACAGACACAGTGGCCCAGTAGGGCTGCTGGCCACACAGGACGCACCTTACATGCCGGGCCTTCAGTAAGCACCACTGGCTTCTTCCACAGCATGTGTTCCCACCACACCCAAGCCAGCAAACTGTGGTGTCCGCATTCCGAGAGGCGGTGGCTTCCACAGGGGACGCAGGCTGTGTTCCCCATCTTGCACCTGGCTGTGCTGGGTCCACTCGAGTCCAGGGTCCTCGTGTTTAATCACTGACGTGGCCTCCTGGATACACACTGTGGGACCCACTCGAGTCCAGGGTCCTCGTGTTTAATCACTGACGTGGCCTCCTGGACACACACTGTGGGACCCACTCGAGTCCAGGGTCCTCGTGTTTAATCACTGACGTGGCCTCCTGGATACACACTGTGGGACCCACTCGAGTCCAGGGTCCTCGTGTTTAATCACTGACGTGGCCTCCTGGACACACACTGCAGCAACCCTCGCAGCACACGAGGTGAGCTGCTGACGGGAAGGAAGCGCTCTCAGAAGAGGGGCCCGTGTGGTCGTGGCCGTGTGCTCTTCCTGGTGATTTCCCATACCAGCCATCAGGTGGTCTCTGCTGTCTGCTGCTGGCAGGTTGGCCACTCAGCAGTGGACAGCTGCCAGACCAGCCTCAGGGGGTGAAGCACCTGTGGCCAAAACCAGGGCCTCTGCCCCAACTCCACGGCTATCCTGCTTAGACCATGAGAAAGGGTGCAGTGGTTGCAAAGGCTGATACCAAAAGCCAGCAGAGACTTGAGGCTCGTACAGCTCAGAGTGTTCAGCCTCCCCCCAGATGCAGACACACAGTCCGCAAGCAAGCATCCCGCAGCCTCCCGGGACGCTCACCACTGCACGGGCTCGCCAGGCTGACCCACACTGAGACTGCCACCCGCTACGCGGGAGCCACAAGCCAAGGAACCAGGGGACAGAAGGCTGCTGGGAGTGGCCTAATGACTGCCCCCAACTACTCTGGGGAAAGAGGGTTGCTCCAGACAGGGGGAGTTACGTCTGGAATACGGGCGGGTCCTCAGGGAACTGTTCGTACTCCCGTATCTGCTAAGTCCGTGCGAACCTAAAGCTACGCTACAAGGACTCACAGGAAAGATCCTTCAGGCATGAGGTGGGGTCACACCAGCAGATGAACCACAACTAACAGGGCTGAGAGGCCGGGAGTAAATGGGTCCTAGAAAAAGCTACGCTAGTTAAGCCGCCAGCCCCTGCCAGAGCACCAGGCCCAGACCAGCGGCTCTGCTCGTTGCCCACTGCCCTGGCAAGGAGATGCACCTGTCAGCCTTTCCGTCGGCCAGCACGAAGTGCAGGAGTGTTGGCGGCGGCCCTACTGCCCAGCACTTGGCGGACAGTGTCCCGGGGGGCTGTGGCTGGGCCGTGAAAGAACACCCCAAGACATGCACACGCTGACATGTGGATTTTGTGTCTACACTGGAGAAGAGGATGAAGAATCCCCAACCGCACAAAGGAAGTCGGATCACATCAGCTGGGAGCACACTGTTTTTACTTTTACCTGGAAGTATGGTTTAAGGGGGTGGGGTGGGGGGCGGTTAGGTGTGAGCTGACAAAGGAGTGGACAGCACGTGCCCGACTGTCTGTTGTCACATGGCATCCACCACCCCAAGGGGCTCCCTAGAGCCGAATGCACGTCCCAGCACATCCTCCCTTGGACAGCTGCAGGCTCCACGTGCCAAGGAGGTTCGAGGGCAGATAAGGAGCAGCCACGATTCTCTGAGGCACCTGAGCCCACAGGCCTCACCCTCCAGGAACCGCCCCACCCCAGGGCTTGCCCGCAAGGCCTCACGGCACCCACTGCATCCCCAGCTCCAGCGATGGGCCCTCATGGCCCAAGTCCATGCTTCTCGCCCCGTGGCAGGCCAGGGTGGACGTCTGGGTGCTGGCCACAGGGAAGCCAGTGAGTGAAGGGTGGCTCTGCCGTCCTCCGAGTGGCATCTTCCGGGGCCGCACAGCCAAGGTTGCTGCAGCCGTGTGATCAAGACAGCAGCCCGCCCGAGCTCGACAGCCCAGGGAGGGCGAATCCGACAACTGTGGGGAAAGACAGCCTGGGCCGATCACGTCCCCGCAACCCACTGCACTCCTGCTGGCCGCTCACACTGGGGCTCTGTTAGAACCAACAGCACCCTACTTACACATGCTTCCACTAGACTACTTCACTTGCGGGTTCTTAGCTAGGTGTATTAACATTTGTTTCGACTCACTGAAAGTCCAAATCTTCAACAAAGCTGTATGTGTAAGACTGACAGCTTCATTCCACTTGTTCTTGTCCTGGCTGGTGTAGACCACCAGGTTCTCAGTGTACTGCAGGATGGATTTTAAGAACCTGTTGAAAACATGAATGACGTTTCTTTATCCATTCAAATACAAACGCTTTGGTGATTTAAATGTCTTCTTTTCATTCTTGGAATTACCCCGGAAGTCAGTTCTGCTTATGTTTGTCTGAGGATTCAAAAAGAAGGAAAGCGCTCTAGTCTGACGATGGTTTGTCTGCTCAGAAACAGTGGAACCACTGCAGGGCCCCAGGAGGGTGCGTGCCTTTCTCCCAGGGCTGGGCCCCCCTCGGGAGCAGTGGCCGCACAGGAAGGCCGCCCGCTGCACACGCCCATTTGCCCTCTGCTCTGTCCTAAGACGAGGCGCACCAGGCCCTCAGCACAGGCACCATGCTCTTGGGCTTCCAGCCTCCAACAATGAAAGGAACTTTTCTTTATAAATGACCCAGCTTCGGGTACTCTGTTACAGCAACAGGAAACAGACTAAGACAAATACTACAAAATGAGAATATGAGAAGACAAATAAGGGAAGAGCAAGATGCTCAGATGTGAGTGCTGGTGGTCACCAGAGGAGCTCCCAAAGGCTGTACAAAACCCAAGGACCTTCTGATGGCTACTTCCCAAAACTGGCATGATTTAAAAAAAAATGTATTTATTCATTTGAAAGTCACAGCAACATGGAAAGAGAGAGAGAGAGAAAGAAAGAGAGAGATCTTCCACTCACTGGTTCACTCCCCAAATGGCAGCAAGGGCTAGGGCTGGGCCAGGCCAAAGCCAGGAGCCAAAAATTCTGTCTAGGTCTCCCACGTGGGTAGCAGGGACCTATGTATTTGGGCCATCTGCTGCTGCCTCCCTAGGCCATTAGCAGGGAGCTGGATCAGAGGCACAGCCTCGGAGACTCTACCTGAAATTCTGATTGGATGCCAACATCCGAGTGGCCACTTAACCTGCTGCACCACAGCTCCAGCCCCAGGTGTTTTTGTTTTTTTAAAGATTTATTTATTTTACTTGAAAGGCATAGTTACAGGGATGGGAGGGAGAGGGAAAGGCAGAGAGCGAGCGAGCGAGAGACCTTCCATCCACTGGTTCACTCCCCAAAAGGCCACACTTCAGAGCTGGGCCAGTCTGAAGCCCGGAGCCAGGAGCTTCTTCTGGGTCTCCCACATTGGTGCAGGGACCCAAGCACCTGGGCCATCTTCCACTGCTTTCCCAGACACATCAGCAGACAGCTGGACTGGAAGTGGAGCAGCCAGGACTCAAACTGGAACCCATATGGGATGCCGCGAGGGAGGCAGTGGCTTAACATGCTAGGCCACAGGTCTGCCCCATCCCCAGGTATTTTAAATGATGTAACAATTCCAGAAGAGCTCTGAATAAACAGAAACAGACCAGAAACAGACCCGGTGGTGTTTAGCTCTGCAGCCTGCCTGGGAACAGGGGAGCAGTCCCTGCACAGTGGAGGCTCAGCTCCAGGGAGCCCCGACAGCCACTGCTATACAAAGTTTCTCCTTGAAGATACTCACCAAGTGGGAACAGAGGCTTACCTCTGACAGATAAGAATAAATGTCATTCTTATTTTCTCTGGGTTCTCCTCAAGGTGCCCCAAGAAATTGAAATGTTTTTTCAATTTTGTACCTTGAAAATGTTCATATCCAAAGGGAAGTTAAAAGAATAAAAACAATGGGGCTGGCATTGTGACATAAGGGTAAAGCCACTGCCTGCAATGCCAGCATGCCACATGGTACGAATTGAAGATATGGCTGCTCCACTTCCTGTACAGCTCTCTGTTAACGTGCCTGGGAAAGCAGTAGAAGATGGCTCAAGTGCCTGGGCCCCTAAACCCACGTGGGAGCCCTGGAGGAAGCGCCTGACTCCTGGCTTCAGCCTGGCCCAGCCCTGGGCACTGCAGCCATCTGGGGAGTGAACCAGCAGATGAAAGATACTTTCTGTCTTTCTCTCTCTTACTCTGACTTTCAAATAAATAAATAAATCTTTAAAAAAATAATAAAACAATCCAAGTCCACAGACCCTTTGTCCATTTGTCCAACACGTAGTTCTCAGTGGGGGCAATATGGCCCCCAGGGACAGCTGGGGGAGCCACTGGAGTCCAGTGGGTAGAGGTAGGGAGGCCACTCAGCTTTCCACTGTGAACAGGACAGCATCTCCCCTCAGAATGATCCTACGCAGATGTCCTAGTGCCCAGGGGAGAACCCTGACCCACAGACGCCGACCTCTAACCCTGTACACGAGTGTCACTCACTCTCAGTGGGGGTCTATGCAGATGTGCTAGTGCCCAGGTGAGAACCCTGACCCACAGATGCTGACCTCTAACACTGTACATGTGTCACTCACTCTCAGTGGGGGTCTATGCAGATGTCCTAGTGCCCAGGGGAGAACCCTGACCCACAGATGCCGACCTCTAACACTGTACACGTGTCACTCACTCTCAGTGGGGGTCTATGCAGATGTGCTAGTGCCCAGGGTGAGAATCCTGACCCACAGATGCCGACCTCTAACCCTGTACACGTGTCACTCACTCTCAGTGGGGGTCTATGCAGATGTGCTAGTGCCCAGGTGAGAACCCTGACCCACAGATGCTGACCTCTAACACTGTACATGTGTGTCACTCACTCTCAGTGGGGGTCTATGCAGATGTCCTAGTGCCCAGGGGAGAACCCTGACCCACAGATGCTGACCTCTAACACTGTACACGCGTGTCACTCACTCTCAGTGGGGGTCTATGCAGATGTCCTAGTGCCCAGGGTGAGAACCCTGACCTACAGACGCCGACCTCTAACACTGTACGCGTGTCACTCACTCTCAGTGGGGGTCTATGCAGATGTGCTAGTGCCCAGGGTGAGAACCCTGACCCACAGATGCCGACCTCTAACACTGTACACGTGTCACTCACTCTCAATGATCCTGTGCTTCTCTCCCTAAAATGCCACATTTTAAGCCTGTGTCCAGCTTCCTGCTACTCACAAAGCGTCAATTTAAAGTCAGTCTCACAACACAAGCCACAGCCCTCTCTGCAGTGGGTCACCCAAGTGTTATGTAACTTTCAGGTCCCTAGGCCTGGAGGGTCACAAAGCGTAGGCTTCCCACAGGTGAAAGTGCTGGCTACACCACAAGTCTGGTCTCAGCCATCTGGATATGGCAGAGAAGGCCCTGTGGCCCCGCCTCCGGACGCTCTGCAGAGGTGCCAGGTGACAGCACCCTCGGCTCCTCTCCAGCACTGTTCCCGCAGACCTCCCCCCACCCCTCCGGTCATCACTGTTACTGCAGACTCAGGATCTGCCTGTAGGCATGCTCAGTTTTCAGAACTACCTGCACAGGTGTCAGTCTCACATGGTCACAAACTTACAAGCACCCAAAGTCACAAAGATTAGCTAAGGGCCTGTCAGAATCTATGAAGGTTAATAAAATAATTACCAAGAAAAATAACTAACAGAAATTAAAATACTTTAAAATAACAAAACATGGTTTATTTCACACATGACACACTTACCTGAGGTAGTGCTGATATTCAGAAGTATCTTTTCCAAGAACCACATGAATGTTAGCCAATTCCAGCGCAATGAGCAGTAACATCAGGTAAAGCACAGGAGACAGAAGCCTGATACTGAGACAAATGAGCGCACATCAGCATTTGGCACCTTCCCAGGAAACGCACATTCAGCCTAACCAACGCCTTCTCCCAGCACCCTTAGGTCCAAACCCCGCTGGCAGTCCCTGACTGGCCCTGGGCCTGCAGCAGGGCAGGGAGCTGAGGGCAGCCCTGTGTCCTTGGCCACGCCCAGCACCTCCTCACTCTTCACTCCTCTGCTCTCAGAGGACACAGGGGCAGCTGGGTCTGCATGTGGCCCCTTCCATCGGCTCTCTGCCCTCTGCTGCCTGTCGGTCTCTTTCCTACAACCTCACATCCAGCAAAGGATGCTCACTGTGGGCTTCAAGGGAAAACAAAAGCGTAAGTATCAGAACGTGCTCGGTGTCATCAGACTCAAACTCAAATCAAACTACGGTCTCATCTTCCCCGTGAAACGGGTGGAGGCATTTTAAAATTGTTCTAAGACGGATTAATATTTCAGAAACATGTTTTCCACTTTCACAAGGAAAATTTTCTCATAAGTTGCCACTAAGAACATAAATGAACATCACCTTTTGGGAAGGCAAGGCAGCAAGACCCATTACAACCCTCAGAAATAAAGACGCTGGGACAGTGCTGTGGCACAGCGGGTTAAGCCACAGCTGTGACCCAGCAGTCCATACCAGGAACTCAGGTTCAAGTACCGGTGCTCCACAGCAGGTCCAGCTTCCTGCTGATGTGCCTGGCAAGGCAGAAGACGACGGCCCAAGTGCTGGGACCTCTGCCACCAGGAAGGAGACCCAGATGGACTTCTTAGCTCCTGGCTTCAGTCTGGCTCAGTCCTGGCCACTGCAGCCATTTGGAGAGTGAACCAGTAGGAGGAGGATCTCTACTGCTCTTTCAAATAAATAAAGCTTTAAAATGCAGATACACACACTAATCAACTCCAAGTACTAGAGATTTGTGCCAAATGGTCCCTTCTTCATATAGCACATTCTGGGGCTGGTACTACAGTGTACCAGGTAAAGTCACTGACTGCAGTGCTGATAACCCATATGGGCACCGGTTTGTCTTAGCTGCTCCACTTCCAACCCAGCTCCCTCCTATGGCCTAGGAAAGTGGTAGAAGACGGCTCAAGTCCTTGGGCCCCCACAACCATATGGGAGACCTGGAAGAAGCTCCAGGCTCCTGGCTTCAGATCAACCCAGATCCAGCCATTGTGGCCATCTGGGGAAGTGAACTAGCAAATGGAAGATCTCTCTCTCATTCTCTCTCTGTCTGCCTCTTCCTCTCTGTAACTCTCTGCCTTTCAAAATAAATCTTAAGGGCCGGCGCCGCGGCTCACTAGGCTAATCCTCCGCCTAGCGGCGCCGGCACACCGGGTTCTAGTCCCGGTCGGGGCGCCGGATTCTGTCCCGGTTGCCCCTCTTCCAGGCCAGCCCTCTGCTGTGGCCAGGGAGTGCAGTGGAGGATGGCCCAGGTGCTTGGGCCCTGCACCCCATGGGAGACCAGGAAAAGCACCTGGCTCCTGGCTCCTGCCATCGGATCAGCGCGGTGTGCCGGCCGCAGCGCGCTGGCCGCGGCGGCCATTGGAGGGTGAACCAACGGCAAAGGAAGACCTTTCTCTCTGTCTCTCTCTCTCACTGTCCACTCTGCCTGTCAAAAAAAAAATAAATAAATAAAAAATAAAAAAAACAAAAAAAAAAAAACAAAATAAATCTTAAAAAAAAAGAATAGCACATTCTGAAATATACCCTGCAAGTGGAGACAAACTCAAGTTAATCTTAATCAGAGTAGTGGAACATACATGCCCATACACCAAAACAGCAGACTTTTTAAAAAAAAAAAAAAAAACAAACAAAAAAAAAAACAAATCTTTTTAAGATTTATTTTTATTTATTTTAAAGGCAGGTTTATAGAGGGAAGGATAAGAGAGAAATATAGAGAGACAGAGAGATCTTCCAAACATTGGTTCACTCTCCAAATGGCCACAATGGCCAGCCAGGGTTGTGCCAGGCCGAAACCAGGAGCCTGGAGCTTCTTCCAGGTATCCTACGTGGGTGCAGAGGACCAAGCACTTGGGCCATCTTCCTCTTTCCCAGGTGCATTAGCAGGGAGCTGAATCAAAAGTGGAATGGCCAGGACTCGAACCAACGCCCATATGGGATGCTGGTATTGCAGGCAGTGGCTTAACCCATTACACCACAATGCCGGCCCTTGGCAGATTGTATTTTTAAAATAACACGTCCATAGCTGTCTCTGAAAATAAGTGTCTCCCTGAAAGTAAGGCCAGGACTACATCCAAAGGTACGAGCCGACCCAACAGTGCTTCTGCAGAAGACAGGGCCACACCTGCTCGCCATGCGCACGTAGTTCTGCCGCTGGCGGGACCGCAGCCTCCTCTCCAGCCACTGCCTGTGCCTCAGCTCTGCAGAGGCAATCACCTGGCCAGACACGCGCTGGCACTGGGAGCAGATGCTTCGCAGCACAACCAGCACCTCAACGACATTCCTGGGGCAGAACAGCGTGGGAACACGCATCCGGCAGAGTTCACCGAGCAGCCGGTGCCACCTGCAAACCAAGCACAGCTTTCAGGGGACACCGCCTGCCACGAGCGCTGCACACACCACCCGCACTGCAGTCACACAACCGTGAACACTGTGCATCTGTGTCTCATCAGACACATCACGCCTTTTGCAGGTGTGTCACAGCTCATCCAGGCATTCCTCCCACAGCAGTAACAGTGGGAATTCCACCGCAGCTACCAAGCTTACAGAGGTAAACAGAATACAGTTAAGCTAACTCCCCGGGTTTGGTTAGTGTATGTTTCGTAACTCAGAGCAGGCCCTAGCGCTTACTTCTCAGGGGCAGAATACTGTGAGTTCCCACACACACAATGTTCGGGCGCATGGCGGTACAGCTCTTCCAGAATCTGCGTAATCAAAGAGTTGCAGGCACTTGCTTCAGCATCACCTTCTAATCTGAAAGACAGAACACATTTAAGAACACATGACAGGCCGGCGCCGTGGCTCACTGGGCTAATCCTCTGCCTGCGGCGCCGGCACCCCGGGTTCTGGTCCCGGTTGGGGCGCCGGATTCTGTCCCGGTTGCCCCTCTTCCAGGCCAGCTCTCTGCTGTGGCCAGGGAGTGCAGTGGAGGATGGCCCAGGTCCTTGGGCCCTGCACCTCATGGGAGACCAGGAGAAGCACCTGGCTCCTGGCTTCAGATCAGCGCAGCATGCCGGCCGTGGCGGCCATTTGGGGGGTTAACCAACGGAAAAGGAAGACCTTTCTCTCTCTCACTAACTCTGCCTGTCAAGAAAAAAGAAAAAAAAAAAAAAAGAATATATGACAATTGCAAAAATGCACACATTGGCCACTATGCAAACCACTGTTTACTTTAATGGTTCACTGAGCTGAAACTTGGTTTCCCCAAATATAAAATGAAACAAGCCACAATCAGAGACAGCAGTATAAATAACGATGCAGTCTGCCAATGTGCCACACAGACACAGAAGACCTGAGAGTCAGCAAGGATCGTGCCTACCCAACAAACAGGTCAGCTACATTCCATGATCCAAAACTTCTACCTCGATCCCACTTTCCCCTAACCTGCAGAACCCCATTCTCCTCATATACAGGACAGCTCTCAGTGATTCCACAAAACCTGCATTCCTGTGCTGTCTGTGCAAGGGCCCCGCCCTGATGGCTGTCACACCCAGCACTGCCTCCACCTCCCCCTGCACAGCCCACGGGACCCAGCGCTGCCTCCACCGCCCCCTGCACAGCCCACGGGACCCTGCACTGCCTCCACCTCCCTCTGCACAGCCCATGGGACCCAGCACCACCTCCACCTCCCCCTGCACAGCCCACGGGACCCAGCGCTGCCTCCACCGCCCCCTGCACAGCCCACGGGACCCTGCACTGCCTCCACCTCCCTCTGCACAGCCCACGGGACCCAGCACTGCCTCCACCTCCCCCTGCACAGCCCATGGGACCCAGCACCACCTCCACCTTCCCCTGCACAGCCCACAGGACCCAGTGATCCTTTCTCCTACTCCTCCAGCAGCCTTGTGGGTAAGGAAACACTTCCATTTTTAAATTTTGAGAGGCAGAGAGACAGAAACTACAGGGACAGACAGAATTCCTATCTACTAGTTTATTCCCTGAATGCCCACAACAGGTGGGGCTATGTCAGCCCAAAGACAGGAGCCAGGGACTCAATCTGGTCTCTCGTGTGGGTGGCAGGGAATCAATGACTTAAGTCATCACCTGCTGCCTCCTAGGGCATGCATAGCTGGGAGCTAGAGCTGGGAGCTGAGCTGGGACTCAAACCCAGGCCCTCTGACACGGGATGCACACATCCCAGCCAACAGCCAGCAGCTGAGCCAAACACTTGCCTCAGGAAACACTTTTGAAGGTGACTGTAAGTGACAGCCCCCAGGTCTGCCTGCCCCAGGTGACGGCCCCTGACTGCTCTCAGTGGCTCTAACGCTAGGGCCCCTGGATAACACCCACCTGCCTGCTTCCCAAGTGTTCTCCTCGGGCAAAGGCAGCAGAGGCCAGATCCTGATCTTCTCCTCACAGCTCAGCACCTGGGAGGAAACATTTACTCACTTGTAACGTTTTCGTAGTAACATCCTAGGAAG